TCTTGTCTGCCCCTTGGTTGTGGGAACGTTACATTGTCAGATATCGCAGGCTGTTCGAGGGGGATTGGTTCCCCTTGGTCAGTACTTGGGAACGGGCGGTGTCTGACTTTGTGAAGTCCCCCTGGGTTGACCAAGGACATTGGCGCCCTCTCGGAGAGCCTCTGAAGGTTGAGGCATTACTAAACCGTGTAAGGCGGCTTCGAGCTTGCCCTTCTCCGGTGTGGACAGTCGACCTGTGAAGACCACGCTGCGTTGCGCTCCTGCTATTTTTCGATTTTTCAAGTGGAAGTTTCACAGTGCGAAGTGCGTGTGATAAATCAAATTGTGCGTGAATGTGAGCTGAATCCAAGGATACATCGCATTAGTATGTGTGCATCGTAGTTTTCAAAAAATTTGTGAAAAAGTGTGTTCAATAATTTTGTTCACCTCATATGCCGTCCTTGTAACGGAAGGGTGCCGCCCGGCCACCACGTGGTTGCCGTACTAGGCTTAGGAAGTCCGTCGAAAAAATTCTAAGTCCAGAAATCTGTGATTTCTTTTCAAAAATCAATATCTTCGTAATTAATGCACTTAGGATTACCGGGTTTTCGGCAAATTGGTAAGTTCTTCATATACTATTATATTATATTTTCAATATGGCTATAACTGCATTATCTTCGATATTAGTATTTTAAGACTAACCTTTTCTGGAACCTAGCTAAAATCTGGACCCAAATAAACTTAATTTTCTGATTGCTGTCTGAAACTTTATAAAATATGCTAGTAACACCAAAGGGTCTGTTCATTGGGCTCGGAATACTAGTTTAAAACATGATACTTGATTTTGTCGAAACGTTGTGAATTTCGACACAACTCCTTCACGTCGTCGAGTGCAATTTCGACAAACTCCTTACAGTGTATTCTCCATAGTTTTTAAGACTGTTTACTGTTATTTTAACTGTGTTATATCTTTCTGAGCCTTTTCTGTGTGCCTTTACATATCGTATACATATTTTTGATTGATTATATTATTATATAATAATATATTATTTCTCTGTTTATATTGAACATTCATTATGTTTTACTGATATAAAGCATATTAACGTCGTTTGTAATTATATTATAACAGTCTGTTTCTTATGGGAAATTAATTACCTAGTGTGAGCTTATGTAATATTCACGCATCGCTATGCCTCAACAATCAGTTTCGTTTACGGATGACCCAGTGAATGACAACTTTGATCCTACTGCATTGCTTGCAACTGATAACAATTATAGTGACAAAGTTAATTTGTTATATACGATCATATTCGTGCCATTGCAACTCTCTATCGAGGAGGAAAGTATACACTTCCTTTCGAACCACGAGAAAAATTGCTCCATTCATTGGATGCGTTACGGCAATTGGCTCTTCAGGGCCCGGATTACATCCCGAAACCAGCCACAGTTGAGGCTGAGGTAAATACATCAACAGTGGTCTGCTGTGAAGTTATTCATAACCCACCTATTATTTCATCTCTGCAGCAAGTTCCTTTAGTTCCAAATCCCTCTGCTTTGCCTTCTCCAGCTCCTGGACACTCTTACGCATCTGCATTACAGCAATCCCTTCCGCCAGCTCTTACACCTACTTTACTAATATATCCAAAAGAGAACACAACTAGCAGGAAGCTTAGAGATAAACTTTCCCAGGAATTTCCTTTGCCGAAACTTGGAGTCCAAGTTAAACGGATCAAACCTATCCAACGGGGTGGATTGGCGGTGGTCTGCCAGTCGGAAGAAGATCGGAAAAAATTAGCAGCTACTTTAACGTCTGATCACGCAGCTACATTTGTTAACGTAAAGAATCCCACAACAAAAAAAACCCCTTATTGCAATTCATAATTTATCCCCAGATCTGACACAGGAGGATTTACAGCTTACCATACAAGAAGACTTTGGCCTCACTAGTGACGAAGTTAAACTTATATTTCGTCTAAAGCAGCGACGCAATGTCAAGTGGGTTGCCGAGTGCAGCCCAAGGGCATATCAAACCTTCATGTGCAACCCTCGCATCTACATCGGCTGGCAAGGCCACCTTATCACTGAGCACTTTAATGTCAAAAGATGTTTCAAGTGCCAACGTTTTGGGCACCTGCAAAAAGACTGCCGCAGCGTCCACTATTGCGCATTGTGTGCTGGATAACACAACACGATACCAAGGACTGTTCGGCCGATGCCGATACAGCAGCATGCATCAATTGCATCGATTATAACAACGGCAGCAGATATCAAGTCCCGATTGACCACGCAGCAAACTCCAACACCTGTTACTGCTACCAAAGTAATATTGACAGAATCCGAAGCATCACCACCTATGAGTAGAGATGCCCAGTATAATGTTTCATGTAATTCTGTTCCTAACATCAAATTCTTGCAAATTAATCTTCAGAAAGCTCAAGTTGCAACTGCCCAGGCAATAGAGTTTGCGTTAAGCAACAAAATTGATTTTCTTCTCGTTCAAGAGCCATATACTAGACATGGCAAAGTGGTTGGTTTTCCTTTATTATGGACTGTATATCATCAAGAAAATTCAGAAGATCCTCCACGCTCAGCAATAATTAATTGTAACCCTCAATTCTCTCCATCAATTATTACTATTACTAAAGATCAAGTAGCACTTTTATTAGAATTAGAAAATTTTACTATAGCATTATTTTCGATCTACTCCAGTCCCTCAGATGATATCAGCACTACAATCTCTTTCCTGGAACACTATACAAGAGTTCTTGGTAATAAACATCAGATTATCAGCGGCGATTTTAACGCTCACTCTGTTGCTTGGGGCTATCGAACAACAGACCCCAAAGGCCGTCTGTTAGAAGACTTCTTATCTTCTAAAAATTATGTATTACTCAATGCCACGAATACAATTCCTACTTTCGACAGACTATATGCTGTGGGTTGGCCGGACCTGACCTTTACATCCGCCAATACCTCTCACTTAACAAGTAATTGGACGGTCAGAGATGAGATTTCATTATCTGACCATAAATATATCACTTTTGAAGTAACACAACATAGTTCTTTACCTATCTTACCTCGTTATAATCTTCCTGGCAGGAAAATTAATCAGTTTAGTCGAAAAGTTCGTGGAACTCTTAATCGTCTTCGTCACCAAATCAACTCTTTAACCATATCTGAAGATATTGAACGTTTTTCAGAGTCCTTAATGCAAAATCTTCAAGATATTTGTCACGAAATACTTCCAAAGCGAACTACCAAGCAGCTCCATACTTTACATTGGTGGAACTCTGATCTTCGCATACAGCAGCGGAAGTGTCGTGCGCTTAGGCGACGATTAAAATCTGAACGACGCAATGGAATAACATCTAATACTCTTCAAGTTTTTCAAAGAGAGCGTGCTCTGTATAAACGGATGATTATGCAGAGCAAAATAGAAGCTTGGAGAAAATACTGCACATCAAATAGAGAAATATTTGGCTTACCCTATAAGATCGCTCGAGATAAGCTTTTCCAGCCTGCATCAACGTATCTTTCAGAATCATCACTTGCTGGGTCTAGCCCAATAGAAAATACTATTAATGATATTCTAGCATCAGTTCTTCCTCAGGATGATATTACAGATGACTCCCCAGAGCACTTGTCAATTAGGCAGCAAACTTCTATTCCTAACACAGAGGATGATCCACAGATTACAATTACAGAAATTAAAACCACTCTTCGAAGTATTCCAAAAAAACGGGCCCCAGGCCCCGACGGGATTGACTATTCTATAATTCGTGTAATCATTAATTCCCACATCTTCTTCTTCTGTGATTATTTTAATAAGTTATTTCTTAATGGTGTATTTCCTCGTATCTTCAAAGCTGGAAGAGTGGTTCTTTTTCTCAAAAAAGGCAAAGATCCGCAATTATCCACATCTTATCGACCTATATGTCTATTATCTGCTCTGGGGAAAGTTTATGAAAGAATTATTGTCTACCGTTTAAAACATTATCTTCACAAAATTCACTTTTTAAGTGATCACCAATATGGCTTTAGACCAGGTAGGTCTACCCTACAAGTATTATCAAAAATTACAGAAGATATACATCGTAATCGCAACAATGGTCACCACAGTGCTTTCATCAGTATAGATCTTAAGAATGCTTTTGACTCACTGTGGTGGCCTGCAATACTGGAGGCACTTCGACAAGCTGATTGTCCTCAGAATTTATTTCTTGCATTTCAAAGTTACTTGTCGGAAAGAAAAATTATCTACTCCACTAATCATGGCATTATTACAAGACAACAAAACAGAGGCTGTCCGCAGGGTTCTTGTGCTGGCCCTGATTTATGGAATATAACATTTAATTCTGTTATTGCCGCAAACTGGCCAGCACATACCCGGGCATATGCGTATGCAGATGATACAGTTTTTATCATTCAAGGACGAACTCGAGAAGAGTTGCAAAGAAATGCTATTGAAACCTGTGATCTCTTTTATAACTTATGTTCTAGAATTAAATTAACAATTTCCGAACCAAAATCGCAAATTTTATTAATCCCTAAAAAAGGAGGATCTTTGGTTCGACGGCCTCGAATCACCATTCATGGTACACGTATACCTATCAAACCGCAGCTCAAATTTCTCGGCGTTATCTTTGACGAGAAACTGAACTGGATGCCGCATGTTTTGGAACTAAAGAGACGAACTGTTATAATTGCATGTAAATTGCGTCAAATGCAGGGTCGTGGATGGGGAATTAGTCCCTATATACAAAAGGTTCTTTATCTCACCGTTATCGAGAGAATGGTCACCTATGCGGCTGCTATATGGGCTGAACCCATGCAGGGTCGCAAAGTGCGCCACTTGCAAAGTCTCCAGCGTCAATTTGCCTTACAGATAACTAGGGCGTTTCGTACTACCTCATCCAGTGCATTAAATGTCATGGCGGGACTGATCCCTCTTCATCTACGTATTCTGCAGGAAGCAGCAATACAATCCGTCAAGGTTTTGAAAAAACCTTTCATCCTATTTGATGAAACTTTTCACACCATTGCACTATGAACAACCCTCACAACATTTGGATGTGCATCCAGTCCTTCAAGGAACAGGACTTCGGATTTTCCTTAAGGACGTAACACTGCCACCTATCCCAAGCATTCAATATTACACTGATGGATCTAAAATAGATCAACAGACAGGCTGTGCCCTTGTAGCCTTTCATAATGGTCAGTCAATTTATCAGTGGCTGGGTCATCTCCATGGAAATAATAGTGTATTTCAAGCGGAGGCCCTAGCCATCCTCAAAGCAGTTCAACACTGTAAAACAAGTGGTGCTATGGAGGCAATAATTATCACTGATAGTCTTTCGTCGCTTCAAGCGATTCAAAACCCCAGACATTCTTCTTCGCTTATCTCGGACATCCAATGTGAACTTCGTAATCAAGTGGGAAATAACATCACGCTAGCTTGGACTAAGGGCCATGCTGGGGATCACGGTAATACTTTGGCAGATAAGTTAGCCAAATCAGCTGCCGAAAATACCGATGCCGAGGCTGAAGAAGTGATTCTTAAGTGGCCAACATCTCACTTAAAACGAGCTCTTCTTTTAAAAGTTATATCCCAATGGCAACTAGAATGGGATACTGATGAAACCGGTCGACGAACGTACAATCATATTACGTATGTGGATCAATGTCGTCAGATAACAAATCATCAACTAGTAAGATATATCTCGGGGCATGGTCCATTTCCAAGCTACTTTTACAAGCATGGAATTGCAAATAGTGAATATTGTGTCTGCGCGGAACTCTAGGCATACCTGAACATTATATTACTACATGCCCGTTAACGGAGGAATTTCACATTCCTTTCCCTGTGGATAATCAAACTAGCATTTAGTAAATTTTTAATTAAGCAGAAGTACCTTATCAGAAAACTCTCAAAAATTATGGACATTCTCCACAGTTATGGATCTGATCTATGTCAGGTTGTCTAATGTTAATGGTTTTGTCCTGTTTTCATAATACAACTGTATTCTTGTACACTCCAGTTGCATTCTTGTCTGTTTACATAGTGTTTTCATAATACAATTGTATTTTTGTACACTCCAGTTGCATTCTTGTCTATTTACATATTATAACTATATTCTTTCTTTTTAATAGTCCCAGTATTGTTACAAATATTATTAAAAATTGTATTGTATTTTAAATGCACTATAAGATATTGCACAATAAGTATTATACTCGCAACCTCAAACTATAGATATGGTATTACTATCTTACTGAATTACAAGCTACATATTAAGTATTCTAATCTGGTTATATATCAAAAATATTGTAATAATTATTGTATCAAACTATTAGTATCATATTTCATTATAATATATACAATATTCTCTTAATTCTTATTATTCTTAGCATTAATTATTAAGTTATTGGTAGTTATGTAATATTATGTTGAGTTATAAGCTCTACCCTAAGAATATGTGATGCAACATATTGAAATTATGAACATCGTATCGCTATGTATGCTTTAGTATGGAACTGTAAATTAAATTCTTTGCAATACAGAAACTGGATTATTAGCTGGATTATTAGCATAACGTTATAAGTAGTCTTGATTCAACTTGGCATTAACTATTTTATTGAATTACATGCAGAATTTTAGACTTTAGATTTTAGATTTATTGAAGTTATATACTTATATTGAATTGCATTGTATCGCATATTGCACAGAATTAATAATATTGAATTGATCATAGGTATTTTTATACATTGCATTTGTATATTTATACTGTTGCAAAATATGTCTTTTTATCCTCAGTATTGTACTGAAGTGTTGCTCTTGTGTATTGTATACAAAGTATTGCATTTAATTCGCTTTAGTTATTAAGAACATTGCCTTATAGGCATCATACTATTAAGAATATATATATTGCACTTCTTTTTATACCCTGAGATACGTACTGAATTAAATATTGTATTAATTATTTTACTGAACTAGCAATTGTGTTAAAATACTGTATGAAAGTTAAAGTAGTATTTTGGTCTCTTTTTGCTTTAAATATTCCATTAAATTATAAATAGTATCATAGACGTAGCTTATCGATTTTATACTGTATCATATGTCTTGTATTGCATATTGCATAGAATTATTACCAATTACTTGACAATATGTATTTTTCTACATTGCATTTGTCTATATACTGTCACATACTCTATTTATTTACTCTTAGTATTGTATTGTACCTATTGTTGTGTCTTGTATACTAACCCTGTAAGCATGTTAATTTACCTATTGTATCACATATCTTACGTATTTGCAGTACATTATATTATATCGTATAACCGTATTGTATAATATATATATTAAATTGTGAGCTTCGTATGGATATGTATCATCTTATATGAAATTGCAATGTTGTGAGCATCGTATACATAATAAAATTGCACTATAAGTCCCCTGCAATACAGGAAATGTGTAGTTGGTATCGTAATATAAATAATGTATCATTAATTTTGCATTAACTTTTGTAATTGAATGATATAGCATCCATTATCTTACGTATTAGTTGTAAATCATATTGTACTGTATACTGTATTATATAATATATACATTAAATTGTGAGCATAGTATAGATATGTATCATCTTGTATAAAATTGAATTATAAGTTCCCTGCAATACAGTACTGTGTAATATATATTAAATTGTGAGCATCGTATAGATATGCGTCGTATAAAATTGCACTAATATAGGAAATATACAGTTGGTATATAGTAATATAAATAGTGTTTTATTAACTTTGCATTAACTATTGTATTGAACAATATGGCTTATTGATCTTATATTGAATTATCTATCTTGTCTTGCATCTCGTACAGAATCATTAGTATCGTTTTACCTTGTATTGGTATATATCTGTATATGTGTATGTATGTATATATGTGTGTATGCGTGTATATATAGTTGTATAATGTATCCTCTTTACCTTGCATTGGTATTTATATAGTTGCATAATGTATTTATGTATTGTATCCTTGCTTTGTACACTAACTATTGTATTGAACTTACCATCAGTATTAAGATCATTACATCATCGATATCATACTATCAGCATTATTATCAGCCTAGTATGTAGCAGCAGTAGCAGTTTTGTAATATTTAGCATTGTATCAGTTTGTAGTACTGTTTGTAAGTATTCTAGTAGTAGTTTTGTAGTATTGTAGTATGTAGCAGTAGTAGTTTTGTAATGGTGTTTACTCCTTTGGTTTTCTATTGTTATCGCTATCTGTATGTGTTTTGTTCTAATTATGTCTATGTGATTCTAGTATTTATTCAAAACTGGCACTTGCACCTTTGTAATCTTATGCTTTGTCAAAACTTCAAATGTACCCTTTATTTATCTATTTATTTTATTTTTTTTGAGCCCTTGTCTGGCCATGTATTTGTTGAACTTTGACTCAATAAATACTAGGCCCGGGCGGTTGGTGTGAACATGCTTCTGGGGGCTTCTTTGGTCTTTTGGACTGCCACCTGGATGGCCTGGTCGCTTGATTTCGGTGTATGGTGCGAGGCGCCTGTGTGGCCCATCTGGCTCAAGATAGAGGTGGACGTGTTGCATATGCCAATTAACCATTACGGTAAAGGGATGGTGCACACGTCCCCCGTCAACTATCAACTATCAACTATCTGTACATGTGTTTTAATTTTTTAATTTTAGGTCTGTGTGCACTCTAATATACAAGGTATACTTGCTGTTTGCAATTGAAGGAAACGGAGCCCTCTAAGATCCATAGATCAAATGCGTGTCACTGGTAATGATGATTTATTCCAGCAGAACGCTTTTATATACCGCTGAACAAAGCTCTGTGCCACCTCAACGCATCCTTTCTGAACTCACATTCCATTACAAAGTCTGCTTATTTCTATCCCCTCTATCTGCTTTTATATTTTTGCCATATAGTTTGGAATGAGCCTATATTTCTCCGAAATAGAATATTTGATTTTGTCAAACTATCCAGGTCTAAAGCTTCACAGATTTTTGATTTTGATTCAAATCTTTCGCCTGATGGAAGACGGGGTTCCGCATTCCGTCTTCCGTCAGCATTTCGATTGGATCAAGAGATTTTAAGAGCTGCTATTTTGCAAAGGCGTTGCAGTTACAAATATCCATGCTTTGGGAGCTATGTGAATTTTGAACAAACAAGGCATCCATCAACACGCACCTATCACCATACTATACGAAGCACTGAACATTTTTCAACAAGACTCGTCATTAACTACAATAGTCTGAAAAACTTAAGAAACTTTTTTGATTTTGGCCGCGACTAAATTGCACAAAAATCAACTGAAAGACACGAAGTTCATATGACGGAGGTATAATATGCTACTTAAAGGATTAGGAAAATACAGTGGCAAAAGAAATGCATACGGTATAGAATGAAAGAAAAAGACTTTATGGAAAAAATGAAGTTGGTACAAAAACCTACCTGGCAAAGAGGAAGAACAGCCAGCCAAAGAAGCCTTAGTAAGGGATATGATCTCCTCTAACTGCAATGGTTGAGTGGCACTGTTTGTCGATACTCATCACCAGATTACCTAACAGTTCTTGGGATAAGAACTTCAAAAAGCATCTGTTTCAGTTGTCTGGTGTTCTCTGGAGTATTTTGCTTCCAGGCGTCTCCATTTCTCACACATGTTCAGTGGAATTTAAATTAGAGGAGCACCTCTGATCAATCCATTCTGGGGATATCTTTTCTTTCCAGGAGCTCTTCAATGGCATGACTCCTAAGTGATCCTCTCCACAAATGTGGTGCCCCATCCCAAAATGCCTCCCCAATACAAATACGCCAGATTTACCCCAATCCTGATGTTTGCGGGATGAAATAACGTCCTCATCTCTCTCCATATCAACTAACGGAGATAATAGTTTTTCAGACTAAAATGACTCTCATCTGTAAGGAAGACGTGACTCCATTGATGAGTTGTCCAGTCGTTGTGTTCTCTACACACTGTAAACGGTGCCGCTAATTAGCTGCGATATTTAGTGTACAGCATTTAAGACGGCGGGCAAACAGGCCATCTTGATGAAGTCGTCTCACTACAGTAAAGCGGGACACTTGCCGTCTGGTTGGCCGTGCGGAACTGCTGAGCAATGTTGCCCGCTGTCTGGTTTCGATCACTTGCTTGCACAGCGATATATCGGTCTTCGGTCACCGGTGGGACCTTGGCCGAACAACACCCGCCTTCCTTTATAGCTGTACCTGTCGTCTGGAAGCTTTCCTAGTTTGTAAATCAGCACTTTTATCAGTTCCAAATAGACGTCAAACTACGCCCCTCTTCAATCTCGCTAATCTAGATTTAACGGACTCCTGATGTTTTCTTGCTGCCTTGCCTCCTGATGTTTTCTTGCCTGCACTTGCAGAAGAATGCCTGGAAATGTGCTTTCCTTTCTCTTTTTTACTTCCTTGTTCGAAGTAAAAAGGAAGTATTGTAATCGCGAAAAGTTTCAGACAGCATATTTCAAGGAAAACATCCATTTTAACCACTATCGAATGCAATTTAACGATGTTTTTGCGTGATATCTGTACGTAAGGACAGAATAAAATACTCTTTTCCTTCAAAAAAATTCTAAAACTGCTTTAAAATGAATTCTGAAGAGAATTTTTCGTGGCGTCTGTACGAACGTATGTACGTACGTGCGTACGTACGTACGTATCTCGCATAACTCAAAAACGAGTAGCCTCAGAACGTTGAAATTTTGTATATAGAACTGCTATATAACATGTAGATGTGCACCTCGTATTTTGGTT